GGGCAGTCCAGCAGTTTGACTTTAACTCCGATCTGAAACCCCCCCCCCACTGCTTCGGACCCTTAAAACCGCGCCGCCAAAAACAAACCGAGGCTTATTCAGATGGGAACCTTCATTCCGATGGCATCCCAGAACAGAAACGTTTGGGGGAAAATCCTCTTGAAATGAGAAATGATGGTTGGAAATCAGAGCCCTTCCTTTAATGTTGGGCGATTGCGAATGAAAATGAGTTACAACATTTTATGGCTGGTAGTGTGAAGTGAAATAAAAACCATTCAGGCCCGGATCGGGCTTCAAAGGGACAATCCTGCATGACCGCGTTAATGGGTCAACCGGCTTTGAGTTCTAACGTCTGCGAAGCTCCAAAAAACATTGAAAAGCATTTCTAACTCATTCCACAAATGTGACTTCAGGTTCACGCTGAGCCTCCGTCACAGACTCTCTCAGAAGCAACAAAACCGACTTGTCGGCAGATTTTTCCCTTTTGTTACTTCTGTAATTTCTGCCCAAAAAAAACAAAACAGTTCCAGCGAGCGATTGTTGTTTTACAACGTTCGGTCACGGACGCTTTTACGCGTTTGACAAACAACCCGAGTCCCACAAAACCCTCTGTGATGGCTTTAAAATGGAATTTAACAAGTTTCCCAAATGTGTGCTGGCCCACTCACATAAAACACACTCCTACCTGATTGAAAAACCATCCCGGGTCCTCCTATCCCCCTCAGCCACCCGGAGCCTGACTGTCTTTTCCTCTTATCTCCTCTCTTCTCTTACAGCTCTCAATTTCCCTCTGGGATTATTCAAGTATTTCTGATTCTGACTCTGATTCTGATTTCCTACCTGTAGATCTTCCTCTCAGAAGCGATTTCCCCCTCTTCCTCCCGTCTCCCTGCTCCTAAAAACTAACTCTTCCTCACTTTTTAGCAGCCCAAGGCCAGTCTGCAGAGCGGAGGAGCGCTGTTTTGAATTGTTTTGAAATGTCACATCTTTCAAAGTTCCCCTCTGACTTTTTCCCCGAGCTCTTTTCAGGAGGAAAAGGTGTCCTGGCCCACTCACACAAAAAAAAAATCCGTCTGTCCTCCAGGTTTTTGCTCCGCGGGCCGCGTTGCCTCTCCCTTCACCCTTCCCCTTTTCCCTTTACTTCATGTGTTCCACATTATCAGCCACCTTTAGGGGGACATTTCTGCCCGTCTGCAGCCTCAGACGGCGCGTGAGCAGGAAAAGAGAGCCGGTAATTGAAAGATCAGGGATAAATTAAACAGGATGGGAAAACAGATCTCCCGAGACATAAATTGGACCATAACAAGTGAATGAATGTCTTTGATGGCTTCGACGGTTCTAAAGGAGGCTAATAAAATGCAGTTCCGGCCATTTTCTGGGGCTGTGAGGAGGACCTCGGATGGGGGGGGGCGGGGTCAGGAGGGGACTAAAAGACTCTGATTCCACTGTGACAATGTGTCGTGTTGAGGAATGAAGGAGTTTTCAGACTGTGCTGAGACTTTCGGTCCCCTGAAGCATGACGAGGCCGATTTCAACATTCTGTGCCCAGATTTTGACGGCTCTTTGTAGTCTCTTTAGTTCCGTTTATGAAGTATAATTGAAAAGGAATGTGTCCTGTAGGAAATGGGCCGTAAACAGCTCCCCGTCTCTCCCACCACCGGCTTTGATCTCCGCCCCCGCGCCGCCATCCACTGAGGACCTGGATCTTTTTCCCCTCCTGGACTTCTCCTCCCTCCTGAGACATCTGGTCACAACCTCCACACACTGACTCACGGCTGCTGACCTCAGCGGGCTCCCAGCACATTTCTGGGATTTCTCTTTTATAGTCATCGCTCCTCACCGGAGAATATGACTGTGATCGATTTCCTTTTCTGTCTTTCCCCGCGGCGGCCCGGCAGCACGTTGGAAACACAAACCAGAGGTGCCTGGACTTCCTGCCCAAGGCCAAAGTCTGCACTCCTGCGTTGGAAATTCTACGGCCGCTCCTCATTTCCTTACAAATGGCCAAGATACGCGTGCCACGACTCACTGGAACGTGTCTAAATGTTGCCGGCTAGTAGCTCCATGGCAACCAGCCATAGCTGTCCGTTGTGTGGGAGCCCAACACGGGCTCCTCATCCCAGTGCAGTTGTTTGTTACCGATAAACAAGGAAATAAACAACTTGTGGAGTGTTTCTTAACTTTTTTCACTAGAAAAAAGTGGATTTCACACAGTTTTGACAGCTGAGTGTAAGTTAGGACTAAATCGTGGCTCTTTGAGCCACCAAACACTTCCATTCAAATTGTGTACAAGATGCTAAAAAAAATAAAATAAAATAAATTGTCTCAGATTTCAATACTCAGCCTCAGTGTGCAAACGGGCCGAAAGCTAACAACATTTTATGACGCTTCACGCAGGAAAAACCGGAAAATCCTTGAGTTTAAGAAGATTAAATATTTGGACAGGACTCAAAAGATTACCTGAGATTTTGTCAGCGATTTGCTTCACCTGGCTTCACGAGCGAGACGGAGTGGAAGCAAACAAGCATCCGATCCCCTCCCAGCGGCGCCCGCGCGGCCTGGCGTCACAGGCTCAAACGCATCAAACCCGCTAAGGACCCTCCGAAAAGAAGACCCCACACGTCAGCCGGCAAAAGAACCGAAAAACATCTCTGAGTGGTCTGAGTGGAATTATTCTGTTATTATCCTGTGAGGGGGAGCGCCGAAAACGGGCCTTAGGTTTCAAATGGCAGTCTGAGAGGGGGAAAAAAAGACGGCATTTCATCACAGGATCTGCCGCAACCATCAGTGTCAAAGCGCTGCATCCGCAGTTAGGAGGAGATTGCATGGGGGACGTGGCAGGTAAGCAGCTTTTCCACGTCCAAATACAGCCTGAAAGCTTAACTGCAGCTTGTCAAAGATATCAGCAAAAAAAAACACATAAAAAACATCAAAAAACATCTTCAATTGAGGCAATTTGGCCAAAAAAGCCACCCAGGCCAGTGGACAGCTGTAAAGCTGAAAAGTCTCTTTTTTTAATCCGACCGGTGGACGCCCCAAACGGTGCGGCGCCCGGCTGAAACAGTATTTCCGGAGGAAAGAGATGCTCTTTTAGCGCTCACCCGAGTGGAGGAGGCTCTAAACCGGTGCAGGTGCTCTGCCCAAAGTCGCGTCTGGTTATGCTGGCTGTCTCTCTGTTTTGATGGGGCTTTTGAGGAACTCCGAGTCTCTCCTCTGAATCACGAGTGCGACATATTCATCTGTTGTAGAACGCGCTTTTACACGGCGGCGGTGCAATCATCTCCCCAGAGGCGCCCATCAAAGGCAGCTGTGTATTTCAACACTGTCATTATGCTCCGGATAAAGATGAATTCTCGAGCAGCTCACAATGATAAAATGGCAGGTTTTGCCGGGGAAACGAATGCAAAGGCATTTTTCCTTTGCTGCTCGGTGAAAAACGGCCCGGCTGCCAGCGTTTCACGTGGCTGCAACATCAACAGCTCCACAACCACGATTGCTTGTTTGCTCCGCTTAAAAACACGCGGCGTACACCTCTCCCGGCGCTCCCTCCTGTGGGGCCGCCATTAAACCAGCCCCACGGATGCCGAAATGTCATTGACTCCCCTCCAAACCCAAGTTGATCAACCTGTCGAAAAATGTCACCTTTAAAAAGTACCAGGTGCCAGCCCTTTACAGTTTTTTCTTCTCACCCCGGCAGTGAGAGCAAGGTGAAGTCCCACCTCTGCAGGAAAAGATTTTTAAATTAAATTGGAAAGGCGAACGAGAATTTGTTAAACTGTATTATTCTGAGAAGACTTGGGGATAAAAACCACCATAGAGGAGCAAAACCTGTCAGAACCAACACAAGCAGGGCATTCTGCTTCAAAAGCGGCAGTGATTGGGCCGGAAAACGCACGCTGTTTGACTAGGTGAGACACACAGGCAGCCGGTCCCCCAATGGAGAGCGCCATCCAGGTCACATGGCTCTACGGCTGCGTTAGGACCGTGTTTGGGAATGAAAAACATTGCGTTCACCAGGCAACCACACCGTCACTGGTGCCATTTGTGCCTGCTAACAGGTCGGGTTGATGGTTCTAACCATTTTCCCTCCGTTAGTCATGGATGGTGTGAACCTTAATGAGGTTTTTTGTTTGCTTTCGGGTTTTGTTTGTTTTTTTGCTATCGCGAGTGGAGTAATTACTGCGGCTGATGACAATAATCGAGAGGGGACAAAAATAAAGCTTAAAAAAAAAACCTCCCTGCACGTGGTAAACTGTACGACCCCCCCACCCCGCCGAGCCCCATCTGTAACCATGGTTTCCTCAGTAAAAAAAAGGCAGATGGTCAGCATCACCTTCCTTTTAACCATCATTCAAGACCAGTTTGAAAAGGAGGCTGCAGAGACTAAAAAAGATCCTAAAAGATGGCAGGACGCAACAAGTGTTGGATTAGGCTCCAAAAATCCCACCGACGGCAGCTGGAACCACCTGAAATGAATGGGTTGAGATCAAGGGAACAGAAGTTCCAACACCTAAAAGAGCGCTGGGGCAGGTTTTATTTGTTTCTGGGATAAAACCCGGAACCGTTTCTCGCTTTCCAAACTTGTGCTGCAGCCTGGCTTCTGGAACACGAACCGGGATTTTTATACGGACCCCCCACAGCGGCGATGTGGGAAGGGGGGTCTATGTTTTGTACTCACTGCACTTCCTCTGTGGGGAGGGGCCTCACTGGATGGGGGGGGGTGGGCGGGGCTCTTCCTGACGCTTTCCCCTCCTGCTCCGAAACGCCGCCAGTCCTTCCGCCGACCTCGCCCGTCCTCTCAGTCCGCCTTGGCTTCGCCGGAGCCGTCCTCAAACCGGGGGCACTCTGGGTAATCTGGAAGAGGAGAATGGCGGGGGGCGTAAAAGTGTGAGAAGAAACGTAAAAACAAATCAAACGGCGAATCAGACGTGGGGTACATGTGTTCAGGTGCTGCTGTGAGCGCATAAAAATGTGATGAGAGCTGATTATATAGAGATGGGGCTGACTGGGCGTGTGTGTGCGTGTGTGTGTGTGGGTGTGTGTGTGTGTGTGTGCGTTGGATAGCAGGTGGTGTGTATGATTGCGTGACAGTATGTGTGAATGAATGAAGGAGTAATTTGAACTCAGTATGGGCCATACAACTTGGCCCAAAAAGGAGGCAACGGTTACCATGGCAACATGCGCCAAAACAGAGGAGGGAGGAAGCAGGGAGGAGAAAACGGAGAGAGGGAGAGAGAGAGAGAGGGAGAGAGAGGGGGGGGACTGTGAGAGGGAAGAAGAGGCCAGAGAAACCCTTCGGCTGCTCGGCCTCCAGAGAGTTTTTAAGTTGGATCTCATTCGCTGATTGCCGCTCACTGGGTACCGTCCAACGGGGCGACGGGCAAAATTCCCTTTCTACCGTCAGCCGGCGCCCAAAAGCCTTCACGTCAAGAACAGCAGCTGAGAGTTCCTCTTCCTCACTTTCAGCAAAACGGAGTGGGCTGCCATCACTCAGTCTCAGAGGGCTCTAACTTCTAGCGTTTTCATTTTCAAACCTCTTTCCACAGCAAAAAAATGTATAAAAAGGAAAAAATGAAACACCTGTGACTGCGTCTGCTTTGTCCAAAACCAGAGAGATGCCATCACTGAATCACAAGACCAAGCAAACGCGCAGCACAAAACCCGATGGCGACCCGCTGATAGCAGCCGGCCAGAAGAGGGGCTCCATTGTTGCTTTGGTCTGGCTGAGCAACATGAAAACGCACAACAAAGGGTGGGAATGCCATAGACCGAGCAGCGGAGATGTTTTCCTCCAAACGTGGGAGGCTTCCAAGGCTAGAACGGTCCCTTTTTTTGCTCAAGGAAAAGGTGCTCTTACCAGAACCTGACCCGGGAATGAAGCAGAGCCGGCTGCAGATTGTACCGCAAAACACCACAAAAACCCACAGCGCAGCGGCCGCTGGGGTGCAGACTCTACGGCCGAACGGCCTCCTGGGTTTTGGAAGTGACCGAGCTCAGCTGAATCATGGTTGCTGGCCGGTTTTCGGCCTCCACTCCACACTACCCTGTTCGCGCAACGCACGGTCGATTCTGGAGGGCCGAAGATGACAAATGATGATGTGCTGTTTTGTTTTTCTGCCTTCTGTCAACGCTCAAACTCCAAACAAACACTCTCCTTCCTAACATTTGATTGATTTTTTTTTTAAAGGTTTTTTTAAGTCTGTTTAGACATCTGGTCAGAACTGGCCAGGCAGTTTTTGAAAGTTTGACACATCCGGTCCAGCAGGGGGCGCTCCGGGGCCAGCCCCACCTTAAATACTACCGGATATACATCCGGTAAACAGGCTAGCATAGTTTGCGATGTCGTGACCGGGCAGCAAACCTCATAACCTTTTTTTTATTACCTTATTGTGACAAAGAAAGAATAAAGTGGACTAGTTGCCTTTTTTGACTCACCAGTTCCCCAGCGTTAGCTGTGAGGCGGTGTTAGCCTTACACATATATACGTATATTAGTCTATGGCGTTAGCATAATTTTTCAGTTTATTTTTTGGCACGGTGCATGCTAAAGCATTTTCACAAAACACGCACTTGCCACCAAAGTCCACAGTGTGGCACGAACGCAGCCATTATTAGCCTCAGCTAGGCCCAGCGGGGGTCAACGCATCAATACACCTGTGTTAGCTTCTTTTTTTAAGGGGGGAAATGATTCATTGTGTAGGAAAATCGTTTTTTTGGACACGGAATATGAAAGCCAGCGTCGCATCGCGGGGGGAGTTCAGAAAGTTTCATCTTTCTGTTAAAAATTTCCCGGCGTGCGGGTTGGAGGCTAATATGAGAGGATGGCGGCGGCGGGAGCGGGGGCCGGCGGGCGGCGTTTGGCGCGACCCTGGAGCCAATCAGGCCCTGCCGGCTGCCGCGTGATTGCCGCATTCTGCGCCTCCCGGCAGCCCGTTCTGCGCCAGCGGGAAATTAAGCGCTTCCTCATTTGTCGTTAGAGGTCAATCAGCGTGGAACCCGCGTGTGCGCGAAGGCGGGAAAACGGGGCAGGGACCAGAGACAGCCGACGAAATGAAGAGACGACAGGAAATCGGTAATCCCCCCACCACCCCCACCACCCCCACCCCCCACCCGCCCCGTTCCATCCACAGACCTGTTCGGTCGCGTTTCAGCTTCTTTTGGCCGCAAACGAAGACGTGGGATCTGATTAATTGCTCATCTTAGGCTCTGTTTGTCTGCATACATGATCTCACAACCTGCTCCCGCACACTTGACTTTGTTGTTCGTAGCCGGTGATTGGAAGCGTTGGGTCTAATTGCGCGCAGCTGTGCGCAAGTGTTAAAAACACGTGGCGGCTTTGTGCTTGTGCGTTTTTTTTTTAATATTATTTCATGGTGCCCTGCTCCGGTCTCAGTCTCTAGTTTTATTCCGAGTCTTTACTTATGAAAGTACTGTGTTTCAGGTAAAAGCACAGCCCACCTGTGTTAGTTTATCATTTCAAAGAATGATCTCTTTAAAATAAAGAAAACATTGAAAAGTGATGAATCCCACATGGGTGTAAGAACCTGATGGGCCGTAAACACGAAGCTCCTTTAAGAGGGAATCACCAGCAGTGTTTTGCCCGGGACGTGATGAGTCCATGCAGTGTGTGTGTGTGTGTGTGTGTGTGTGTTGATCTGTGTGGGTTAGTGAGGCTCTGTGCGTGAGAGGATGAGATCATCAGAGGGAAGCAGGGAGAGACGCACAGTCAGGGGCTGAGTGAGAACAACAGGTCTTTTCCAGAGTCCGGATCCCCCTCAGGACTGACCTCATCCCCCATCCATCAGCAGCCTGATGCTCCCCAGCCCGGCTCTGGGGGGGTGGGGGGGGGTGTGTGTGCCTGTTGCCCGCGCTGCTCTCTGCCAGCGGTCCTGAGGCTCAGAGGTGGTTGCACTTACATGATTAGAGATGAAAAGGAAACACGCGGTTTTACTCGACTGCATCTTTTCCAGACGCGCTTTAGCTTTTATCCCCAAAACTCCACTCGCCCACCGTGAGTTTAGGTCATTTCTCCTGTTTTTAGGGACTTTGTAAAATCGAAATCTACTCTTTGAAATCTATTAAAATCTAAAGCAACGGGATTTGAAAGATGATTCATTATTTTTTCAATCAGAATTTCTACATCAAAGTTTCAAAATGGATTCAGAAATTAATCAGTTTTTGTTTTTTTAAACAAGGCAAAGTGACATAAGTTAAGTGCTTCCAAAATGAGCTTCTGATTTAATGTGTAGCAGCAGCAAATCCAGAAACGACAAATAAACACAAAGTGTGTTTGTTTAGTTTTTTTCACATGTGAGATCTCAGCGCTGGTGTCATTCACAGGCGCTGAAAGAACAAGTTTCACATCCAGCTGCCTACCAAAGCACCCAAAAAAACATTTCAAAAAGCTTCTTAACTTTGCTAAAGCTGCACTATTGATGATCTTCAGCGTCAAGAACGAAGAAGCTCCCCTTGATGAGGAGGCGATTAGGCTAACCTTTACTATATCTAATGAATGTCTGTTGTCCTAAATAAATTAAAAAACTTCATGTATAACTGATAAATCTCTGTGATTAAAATGATATTGGCGACCAGTTCTACTCTGACACACACGTGTCATTCAGATTTCCATCTCAACTCATTTAAAACAAGACAGTCTATTTGGAGTTTAATGTCAACATTTTTGATGGGTCCGTCTGGTTGCTCCTTTTCATCACTGGCGACATAAATAATATTTCACCGGACCCCCTCGCAGGCCTGGAAATAACTGGCCTGGGTATGTAGATGTCACATTTAGTTAGTAAAAGGCACAGACGCCCTTCCCCGGATATTCATTCACATCTGCGACATGGAAACGGCTCCATGAGGTCAGACGTGCTGCTCCCCTCCGTCCGGCCGGGGAAACGGACCGTCTGCTCCAGAGCATCTCTGGAGCCTTAAGAAATAAAGTCAAGTTTGAGTTTGTGCTGTCGAGCCATTTGGTGTCCAGCTGCGGGAGAATAAAGAGGGACATTAATGAAGTCCTGTCCTTCCCGCAGCTCTAAAGACGTCCTATTTTCCCCGTCTAAAACCTGAAGAGGAACACAACGGCTGTAGTTTTAGATACAAAAACTTCGGAAAAAAAGCATCCTTCTGTGGCAGATGTTCCATTATTTTTTTTAAATGTATCTGGGGCCCGAAGGCTTTTCCTTTCTTTATTTCTGTAAATGGAAATCTTCCCGTACTGTATCACAGCCCCCCCCCCCCACCTATCTGTGCTGTGCGTGGTGGCTCTTGCAGTGGGTTTGCATCATGTGCGGGGCTCAGCTGT